GGGATTATCCACTTTGTCATGTACAGAGGACTGAATTTATCAGTGTATTGTTAGGACTAGATATCCTGGCAAGTGACAGAAAATTCAGAATAATAATGTCTTAAACAACAAGAACAAAAAGTATATTTTTCCATCATGTATAAGGGTTGGCTTTGTACTCCATTGGCCAGGGACCCAATCTTCTCCTAACGTGTTCCTCTGCCATGCATGGCCTCTGTTCCCAAGTTCACTTCATGGTGCAAAATGACTGCTCCAGCAGCAGCCATATGTCTGCATCGAGCCAGGAGGAAAGAGAAAAGGGAGGAGGAAGGGTGTGCCTCTTTCCTTTGACACTTCCCTGAAGGTGCATGTACCACTTCTGCTCATGTACCACTGGCAAAACCCTAATCACATCACTGCAAGAGATGCTGGGAGAAGTAGACTTTGAGTGGCTATGAGCCCAGTTGAAATTCAAATTCAGGGGCTCTCTTAACTGAGAAAGAGGAAGAGAACAGATACTGGAAGCAACCAGAAGTGTCTACCCCAACCAGGTGGTAACAAAAGGCTTCAGGAGAATGTTTCGTAATGGGCAGCACATTCATCAAACAACGAGATATCATTTTACCTGCAGCAGATGACAAAATATAAAAAATCCAATACCGAGTCATAGAGAACATGTAGAAAAATGGGAACTCCCCTAACTGCTGTTGCAAGTGTAAATTGCTATAAGCCCTTTGGAGAGCAAATTGCTTAGAGCAATTCCTAAGGAAGTTGAAGATGTTCATACTCATAATCTAGGAACTCCACTTCTAGGGAAAGTCTCACACATCCACTCAAGAAGAGAAGTATAAGAGTTGACTGCAGCAATGCATGTGACATTTAAAAAAAAACAAACTGGAAATAATCACCAAATGTTCATGGATAAACAAATTGTGCCATTCTTATAATGCAAATAAATGCAATGAAATATTATAGAGCAATTAAAATAAATGAACCAGAGCTACCTGTATCAACATGGATAAATCTCAAAACATAACATGAGTTGTATCTGTGGGTTAGTTGTATCTCTGGATTAGTCAGGATTCTCCAGAGAAACAGAACTAATGGGATATGTATCTATGGAGACCAAGAAGTCTGCCATTTGTAAGCGGGAGACCCAAGAAAGCTGGTAGTATTCAGTCCAAGTCCAAAGGCCTGAGAACCAGGAGTTGCAATGTCCAAGGGCAGAAGATGGATGTCCCAGCTCAAGATGAGAGAGAATTTGCCCTTTCTCGACATATTTGTTCTATTTGGGCCCTAAATGAATTAGATGGTGCCCGCCACACTCGTGAGAGTGGATCTGCCTTATTCAGTGTACTGATTCAAATGCAAATCTCTTCCGGAAGCACCCTCACAGACACACTCAGAAATAATATTTTACCAGCTACCTGGGCATCCCTTAGCCTTGTCAAGTTGACACATAAAATTAACCATCCAATCTGTAATGTTCCATTTCATTAAAAAGGACAGAAAGAAAAAAAAAAACATCATATCAAGATTTGGTAAACTAGGTGGTAGTTTCACAGGTGCTGTGTTATTCTTTATTACATGTTTGAAATGGTTTACAACGAAACAGTTAGCTGTCTTTTAAAATGCTTCACGAAGAGAAGAAGTTGGCATAAAAAACTTTGTGTTTTGTATCGTCTTTTTTTTTTTTTTTTTTTTTGAGACAGAGTCTCACTCTTTTGCCCAGGCTAGAGTGAGTGCCGTGGCGTCATCCTAGCTCACAGCAACCTCAAACTCCTGGACTCAAGTGATCCTACTGCCTCAGCCTCCCAGGTAGCTGGGACTACAGGCATGCGCCACCATGCCCGGCTAATTTTTTCGATATATTTTTAGCTGTCCAATTAATTTCTTTCTATTTTTTGGTAGAGACAGGGTCTCGCTCTTGCTCAGGCTGGTCTCAAACTCCTGAGCTCAAACGATCCGCCCGCCTCGGCCTCCCAGAGTGCTAGGATTACAGGCGTGAGCCACCACGCCCGGCCAAAGCAGTAACCGTTTTTTTTGTTTTTTTGTTTTTTTTTTTGAGACAGAGTCTCACTGTGTTGCCCGGGCTAGAGTGCCATGGCGTCAGCGTAGCTCACAGCAACCTCAGACTCCTGGGCTCAAGCGATCCTCCTGCCTCAGCCTCCCGAGTAGCTGGGACTACAGGCATGCGCCACCATGCCCGGCTTGTATCGTCTTGAAGTAAGAATGCCCTCACACACATCTGATCCTCTTTAAGAAGTCAAAATGTCTAGCGGACATCGTGTTGGCTCCCCCAAATCCAAGCCCCTAGATGATTAATCCAAACTCATACTGGTAATCAAGCTCCCTTTGCCAGTGATGGGTTCGGGGGGGATGGCCCCCACTTTGGGCTGGTGAGCTGTTTTAAGAAAATTTTAGCCATTACTATATATAGGTCACTCTTTAAATTGCTCTTTTCACCTAAAAATGGTTTTGAAACTTTCCACGTCAGGACTTAACCATCTCCTTCATTTAAAAAAATGTTGTATCATATTCCACTATGTGAGAACACTCATGTTTATTTCACTTTTCCTTTACCAGTGAACATTCAGCCGTGCCTCTTTGGACACTGGTGAAAATACTTCTGAAGACGAAATGTACTGAAATAGAATTCCTGAGTTAAAGGAGCTAAGTGCCTTTTAAGTTTAGATAGATGCTGTTGGCTTGCCCAGAGAATGCCTGTGCCAGTTTAGGTGCCTGATGTAGCAATGTGCACCCTGTGCTCAGGTGCTGGCCTCCTCCCTCTTCCTGCCTGCCCACTCTCCATGGCTGCAGCTCCAGTGCAATAGCGCAATAGCGTACATTTCTCCCACGGGGAAGCCCTGCGTGTCCATAGGAAGAATGAGAGAGAGAAACTCAGGAGGAGACACTAGCCCTGCCTTCTAGGAACTTTCTTTGATTCACCAAAGATGACACTGAAAATATTTAATTACTCATGGTTTTAACACAGATCAGGACAGAAGCCTTGCCCTAGTGTCCCCAGATAGGAGGCTAGAAGCCCCGTGCTGATCCAGGCGTTAACACTTCAGTTGCTAGATCATACAAAGTTCTCAGGGCCCCTCAGAGGAAGGGGTGATGGATACAGACAGCAATGGCCATATCCAAGCATGTGTGCTGCCGGAAATCTGAGGAGGCACAGGTTCCTGAGTACCATGGGACTCCGGGACAGGTTCCTGGAGGAAGAGGCTCCTTTGCAGAATTTGGGTGAAAGTAAGCTGGGCAAGCTTGGACCCTCCAATTCTCTGTGTACATGGCCTTCTTGGGCCCCTCTGTAGGACCCCTCCTCTTTCTTGTTTGCCCCAAAGATACATTGACCTGGGGCAAATTATTGTTTGAAAGAAACACCACTGGTGATTTTAAAAATATGAATGAAAAGACCCCATCAAACCCTCCCTGACCTCAATTTTCTCTGTTTTGAGCAGTAGAGAAAGGTAAGATTCCAAATGGACCTGTTTCCCCACCAAATTGGGTTGGAAAAACAGAAGAGCTGACTTCAGCAGCTCTGTGGAGCCAGCCTCTGGTGGCCTTCAAAAACAACAGTCAGGGCCTTCAAAAACAACATTCTTAACCTCCCAGGGCTCCCTGGGCTGCTGGAGAGGCCCTCCTGGACCTGTGTGGTGCCATGCTGTGGGTGACCCATCGCCAGGGCACTCAGGGAGCCTGCATCAGCCCCAAAGAACCCTGAAGAGGATCTTCACCCCACAGACAGACCTGGGGAAACGGAGATCCCCAAAGGGAGAGGCATTTAGGTCCAACAGGTATTCAGGAGCAGGGCCTTAGTGCTCTGAGGGAGGACTGTGGTCGAGATGGGGATGCAGGAGGCTGCTTCCCTCCAGGTAAACCTGGTGCATGGGTGGAGGAGAACCCAGGGGTCCATAGTCAATTGCCCCTTCCTGCCATGACCCAGCAAGATTTAATCCTTTTAAAGAGAAACACTGGAAAATTCCTGAGAGGCGAGGAAGCCTTAGGAGATCTCCTTGGTTCGCAGTTCAGCCAACTCAGCTCTTGCCCTCTGCCTGTGGAAGGTGAGTGAGGAGGGCGCCATCTTTGATCCAGGTACGAAGGTCATTTGGCACCTTCTCTCCTGCCTTCCTGCCCGTCCTTCCCCCTTGCTCTCAGGGCCGTTAGCCTAACACCCGAAGGCCTTCAATAGCCTTTTTGGACTGAGGTGCCCAACGGGCGATGCAAACACTCATGAGGTCCAGGGGCTCACGGGGAATGACGAAGGAGCAGGAGCTCACGCGGTGCTTCTCAGACCGGCATGCCCGAGGTCACCCGGGAACAAAGCAGTTATTTATTTCTCCTCTTAGCTCAGAGTATGAAGAGAGAGGGCATTGTCTTCTATAGAAAGACTCTGAGAACTTTTTTTTTTTTTT